GCAATGAACACATACAATTCCTGTCCACATGCAGGTTACATTCTACTGGGACATGCAGAAAATAAACAAGATAAATAAGCAAAAATACAATATGTAAGAAAGTGATAATGGCTAAAGAGAAACAAATAAAGAGAAGAGACATAGGAGATTCCCGTGCAGGGAGAAAAACCAAAAATCAAGCCCGTTGCCACGGAGTCAACTCAAGGCAACCCCACATGTTAGAGAGTAGAACTGCTCTACAGGGTTTTCTTGGTTGTAATCTTTACAGAGGAGCCCCGGTAACAAGTGGTTAAGCTCTCAGCTGCTAATTTCTCCACGGGAGAAAGACGTGGCTGTCTGCTTCTGTAAAGATTTACAGCCTTGGAAACTGTATGGAGCAGGTCGACTCTGCCCTGTAGGGCTGCTAGGAGTCAGAATCGACTGCATGGGCAACGGGTTTGGCTTTTTTTTGGTTTAATACTTATGGAAGCAGATCACCAGGGCTTTCTTCCGGGTGGGTTTGAACCGCAAACCTTTAGGTTCATAGTTGAGTACTAACTGTGCCACCCAGGGACATCCATGAGGGGAGAGGGTGTCAGATATTAGAGAGGTGACAAGTGCTCAGTAGCTTTCTGTGTGACTCTGGCTAAGTTCACATCTTCTCTATACTGTTCTACCTGATGTTGTCACACTGGCTAATACAAGCAGACTCTGGGTTCCGAACATCTGTACAACCTGTCATTATGAACCAATCCTCGTCAAGCCTATTATGTTAAAACTTTGAGGTACATACAATGGCTTGGAATAACAAACGGGCGCTACTCTGCGACATGCATCAAAACATTATTATTATTACTGTGTTATTATGTTAAAGATGTTTTAGCGCATCTGGAAGTGTTTCTTTAATGTTTTTTGTGCGCAGAAAGGCACGCTATCTACTATATACTAAGACAACATTTGACTAACTGACATTAGATACGAACCATATCTAATTGTTCCAATTTACGTACAAATTCGATTTAAAGACAGATGTAGGAACGGAACAAGTTTGTAATCTGGGGACTGCTTGTAATATCTCCTTGGAGGATCCAGGGCCCAACACGTAAGCATGTAGAAGGGGCTCAGTACACGTTTTTGAATAAGACGTCAAAGTACTTTACACATGTGAGGCATGATGAATGATGTCTTAAGGGCAAATTGTAGATCCTTGAATTCAGACTCCTCTTTTTCCTTCAGATGACAGGTATTGATGGAATATTCCAGCATTCCTCAGTGCTCTCTGTGGGACCTGAATGTTCTTGGTTTGCTCCCAGACTGTAATTTCAACAGGGGAATATTCCACAGACTTTTTTTTAATAACACTGAAAGCACTGTTATGTAATAAACCTCTCCATCCTAAAAAAGAAGACAGAGGAAAAGCAGAGAGGTTTTTTTTTTTTTTTTTTTTTTTTTTTTGATCACTGCATTTATTGGCTGATCCTGAATCGTCACTACAGACAGAAGGGGGTTGACAAGTTCCAGTTAAGCTGCAACTTCCAAGTGGCCCTGCAATTACCTTGCTGTGTGTATTGGGGCAAATCGGTCACATCTCTGGCTTCCCTCATTGTACATAAATATGGCCCTCAAAGTCAAACAACCTTCTGGGCTTATTACGTACAAAGAGTAAAGGGATAATTCAAAAGCACTCAGTCAATGGTATCAGGTGAAAATATCTAGATTCTCCCAGAGGGATTGAGAGGCTCTGTGTTTTAGGGCTTCTGATCTCGAGGGGAGGGTTTTCAGATAAAATACAAAAGGCCCATTTTCGTTTATGTATGTCCCAAATATTCCACAGGATATACCTATACTAAAAAACTATCCATTGTTTATCTGGAATTCAACTTTAACTGGGTGTCTGTATTTTTATTTGCTAAATCTGGCAACTCCATTCAAGTCAGTGACAGAGAAGCAACCCAACCTCAGAGCATGGTGGCTTCAAGCCGCCCTTCTGTTTTTCTTTGCAGTGACTGCGGAACTTGGGAGGGAAGCCCAGAAGCAGGCCTTCTAGGATCCCAGACGGAAAACCCGGAAACCCCCCTTGGAGACCTTCTAGACGGAGAAAGCAGACTCAGATGCCTAGAGGGATCAGCCAGGTGCCACCTGGATTTTTACGTGAAATTTCCCCTTTTTTCGTTTTTGAATATTTTATTGTATTTTAGGTGAAAGTTTACACCACAAATTAGATTCCCTTTAACAATTCATACACACACTGTTCCGTAACACTCGTTACAGTCCCTGCAATTTTCAGTACTCTCACCGTTTCCACCCTGCCTGCCCCACCATCCAGCTTCCCTGCCCCTCCTTCTCTTCTTTGCTTTTGGGTAAATGTTGACCGTTTGGTCTCATACAGTTGATTGTTTAAAGGACCACATTCCCCACAGGGGATATGGTTTATTTTATAGGCCAATCTATTATTTGGCTGAAAAGTGACCTCTGGGAGTGGCTTCAGTTCCAGGTTAAAAGGGTTTCTTAGAGTAATAGTCTCGGGAGTTCTTCTAATCTCTATCAGTTCAATCAGTCTGGTCTTTTTTTTATGAGTTTGTGTTTTGTTCTACATTTTTCTCTCATTCTAACCTGGACCTTCTACTGTGTCCCTGGTCAGAGCAGATGGGTAGTGGTAGCCGGGCACCATCTAGTTCTTCTGGTCTCAGGCTACAAGAGGCTGTGGAAATCTCCCTATTTTTAAATGTTAGCTACACATTCAATCTTAAAAAAACCAACAAAACAAAACCCACTGTGTGGACCAAAGGAAACAGTCTGTTTTGGCCAGTTTATAAAAACATTCAACCTCTCTCCCCATTATAACCAAAACAAAACCCATCGCTGTCGGGTCTATTCTGAGTCATAGCAACCCTATAAGGAGAGTAGAACTGCCCCACAGGTTTCCAAGGGGCAGTTACCAGCTGAGCTTTTAACCACTGCACCACCAGGGCTCCTTTTCCTTTATACAGAGGAGAAAATAAGGCCCAGAGAAGTGACAGGTGTCAGCCAAGGCTACACAGCTGAAATTTCTCGAAAGATAACAGAATGACCATCTTGGAAATGAAAGGTAATTGAGGAAGAGCACTTTGAAAGAGGCAGGACAGGAGCATAACATGTAGTTTGCAAGATGTTTTCACCTCCTCTTGCTTATCTGACTTGCAGAACCTTCTGTAAGGTGGACAGGGTGGATTATGCCCATTTACGGTTTCAGAAGGAGTTCCTGGGTGGTGCATATGGTTAACACCCTTGGCTACTAACTGGAAGGTTGGAGGTTTGAATCTACCCAGAGGTGCCTCGGAAGAAAGGCCTGGCAATCTACTACCAAAAAAATCAGCCATTTAAAACCCTATGGAGCACAGTTCTACTCTGGCACACATACGGTCACTATGAGTTGAGATCGACTCCACAACAACTGGGTTTTTTTTCTTCTTTTTTTAACAGTTGTGAATGCTGGGGCTCAGAAAGGCAAAGTGTCACCCTTACACAGGTAAATCTAGAGCTGTTTTTCACTACACCCCTGATTCTGATGAGATAATATCTAAGCTTCCTTTAAAATCCCAATACAGAGAAACTCAAAATTCGATTTTATGCCTCATAAACACCAGGCTCAGAAACAAGGCAGGAGGCCTGCTGAGTATGATGACTTCCAACCCAGTTCACAAACACAGAAGGGGTCAGGTAGTCAGGATCTCGGCCATGTCACTAGGCTCGGTGGCGTTTACCTCGTGTTTTCTGTCCTAGCAACTGTATCCCTTGTCCTGCCCATGGACATTGACTTGTTTTCTGTACATCTTCACATAGGAAGGATGTCCTGAAAGGTGCCGATAAAAGATTTTGAAGGGGGAAGGATATGATCTAAGGCTGGGGGCGGGGGTGGGGAGAAAGGAAGGACACAAATGGAACAAATACTTATCGAGAGCATCGTGTGTGCCATGCACTGGGAAAAGTGTGGCATATGATTCTTTCCCAGCTCTTTGCAGGTCTGAAAAACTGCCATTCTTCAGGTTTCGGCTCAAATATCACTTCCTCAGAGAACCTTCCCCTGACTACCCTGTCTAAAGAGGCCTCCCCTGCTACTCTCCAACTCACTGAAGTTTCTCCATACAGATTAAAATCTGAATTATCTTGCCCATTTATGGACTATCTCCCCTTATGGACTGCAGGCTCTACAAGGGCAGAGACTGTGCCTCAGATGTACGCCTAGTGCCTACCGCGGCCCTTCGCACGTAGTAGGTGCTCAACAAATATGTTATATTTTTGAGTGGCTGAATGAATACGTATTTATGTTCCATCCTTCCTGAAAGAGTCTCCACTAAACCTTCTCTAAGTTTCTTTTTTTCTCCTATATTACTAACATCCTTGAAGTAGGAGGCGGAGCATCTGTTCTAGGGAGATAGGATCGGAAGAGAAGAATTGGCGCGCCGCGCAGAGCTGTAAAACGTTTTTCTCTCCAGGTTCCACCGCAGCCTGTGGATTTGTTTCCTGGACCGATTACGGGGCAACTTGCAAATAAACTATCTGCATACCAACTAAGCCTGTTTTTAAAGATCCCTGTGCCTCGCAGCCCTAGGCGATGACATCAGAGAACCCTGCGTTCCATTCTGCAGCCAAGCCCTGTGGTCCTCGAAAACTACAGACCCCAGCAGGCCCCGCGGCACAGGGACCCACAGCTCCGCACGCGGCCCTCCCCGAGGCGTCGGAGGCCACCGCCCTAGAACCAGGAAGACGCCCTAGACCCGGCCCGCCACGCCACCGGGGTCGCGCGGGGCCTGCCGGGATTTGTAGTCTCGGCGGGCGGGGAGCGCCCCCTCCGGAGTCTCAGCCGGCCTCCGGTGGCTGAAGCGGCGCGGGCACGCGTGCGCAGTGCGCGGGCGGCCGTCGTGGGCGCCGCTCTGGCCCG